TGTTGGCATCGTTTGGCTATTTCTTCTAGCTGTTTGTCCATGAAGGGCCAGTATACATAACTGCGGGCAAGCGCCTTCATCCGGTTGATTCCTGGATGCCCGGCGTGGAACTGTCGAATAAGACGCTCCTGAAGTGCCTTGGGGATGACCACTCCTTCCGAAAATAGTATGCAGTCTTTTACAATAGAGAGCGAGTGTCTCCTCTGGAAGTACTGTTGCAACTCGGCAGATGGACATGAACGTGGCCAACTTATTTTGTGAAATCGTGTAACCTTCTTGAGTATTAGGTCTCGAAGCGTTTCGGTTCGTACAGCTTCTGCGGTAACTGGTAGACCGTGCAATACATCAGTTACCAGAAAGTTGACGTCGTTTTCAGTCTCGACCGAGGCAATGATTGTGTCCTCATGTTCTTGCTGGCGGGCATCAATTAGGCGTGACAGTGCATCCGCTTGGCCAGTGGAAACTGTCGACTGGTATTCGATCTCGAAATCATACCCCATTTAGGTAAGAACCCAACGTTGTAGCCGGTTGGCTGTGTGGGCCGGAATGCTCTTTTTTGAACCAAAGATAGCCAGCAAGGGCTTGTAATCTGTCAGCAGCTTGAAGCGGCGGCCGTATAGCATTTTGTGGCATTTCTTGACCGCGTACACTATGACCAATGCTTCTTTTTCAGTCTGGCTGTAATTCTTCTCGGCCTTCCTAAGGGTTCTGGCGGCATGGGCGATTGCCTTTTGAGATCCATCGGCGTAGGTGTGTGATATTACTACACTAATCCCATGGCTTGATGCATCTGTGGGTCAAAAGCAAGTTTGAGGACAGCAGTGACTTAGCGCGTTCGAAGGCCTTCTGGCATTCTGATGTCCAGTTCCATCTGGCCTTTGGCTAGTAGCTTGTTTGACGGGCACGCAGGCGGTGCATCTCTGGCAAGAATGCGCTGTAGTGGCTTATGAGCCCACAAAAGGAACGCAAGGACTGTAGATCTGTTGGCGGAGGCATTTTGCTAATAGCTTCTATGTTTTCCGGATCTGCTTGACGTCCGTCCTTTTCGAGGATAAAACCGAGGTATTCGATGATCGGCGTGAAAAATATGCATTTATCCTCACGGATCCGGAAACCGTACGATTGTATGCAACCAAGCACTTCATCCAGTCGGTTAAACAGCTCTTCCGGTGTTCGGCCCATAACTATGGTATCATCCAGATATGCAGCGGTTCCAGAAACGCCCGCTAGCATGGTGTCCATCAACTGTTGGAAGATGGCTGGCGCTGTTTTCACACCAAATGGCAAGCGGTTGTATTGGAATAACCCACGATGAGTGTTGATGGTCAACAACTCCCTCGAGACATCGTCAACATCCACTTACAGATAAGCATCGGATAGAACAAGCTTGGCAAAGTACTTATCACCATTTAACTTTGCAAAGATATCCTCCGGTACAGGTAATGGGTACTGGTGGTCGTCCAGTGCGGCATTGAGGCCAGTTGAAAAGTCAGCACAAACGCGTACCTTGCCATTTGCTTTCTTCACTGCGACAATAGATGCGGCCCATGATGAGTAGTTGACGGCTGTGATGACTCCGGCACGTTCCAGTGGATCGAGCTCTTGCTCAACGATTGACATGGCTGCATATGGTACTGGTCTTTTGGCCTTGAACACTGGTTTAGAACCTGGTCGCAAGTTCAGTGTCGCTTTGAATTTTGTACAATGGCCCAAGCCATCCTGAAAGACAGAGGCAAATTTGCGCTTCAGGGTACGTGTCATATCTTCGACGGACTTTGATGATGGGTATGGACGTGCTCGAACTCGGTTGCAGATCTGATTCAAGGGAACATCGAGGAGATTCAACTTTTCAATCCAGTCGAGGCCAAGGAGATTCAAATTCGGCCGGTCTGAAATGTAGCATCTTCCCGACTTTTCCACACCTTGGAAAGCAATCTTGCAATTGAGTTCGCCGACTAAGTTTAACACACCGCCGGATGCATTATGTGCAACTTTCTGGGAGTCGACCATCTTCGGCCTCTTTATGTGATTCCATGTGCTCCTGGAAATAATCGTGATGTCCGAGGCCGTGTCAAATTGTAGCTTGATTGGGATCCCATTGATTAACACAGTGATGAATCGTCGTCTCGGTTTACATTCGCTTTAGATTGTGGCAACTATGGACAGACTCAGCGCCATCCCTTCTAGAATTACTCTTTCGATAAGACTTCACTTGCTTCGACCGGACTTGGCTGCAGCATTCCTCTTTATGCCCACGCTTATGATACGTTTGACAATGACGTTGAAGTCCTACCTGTTGAAACTCTAGTTGATCGTGATTATGCGGGCGATTTTGTCTTCCGTTTTAATGATTGGTCGGCGCACTCAACTTTGAACAGCCTCACATGTGTTGTCCCATCATTTTTGCATGCGCTTCGTATCTTCAGAGAGAAGTGCTGTTACAGGACCAGTAGCCACTTAATGATCCTTGACCCTTGGTGGCGAGAAAACTCGATGTGCTTGATCACTTCACCTATCTTGGCGTCTGCATCAGCAACGATTGGTGCATAGCAACTGAAGTCAATTCACTCTATGGAAGCAAGACTTGGCCTGTGCGATCTGAGGACCTGCGGCGCATTCATATCTTTGATCACTGTTGTCTGCGAAGCATTACTAGTGTCGATGGTACCACTGTGTCCGCAACGATGATGTACGTAAGCGAGTACTAGGTGGTGTTAACCACACTAGTTCCTTAGAACAACAGATAGCACTGAATAAGTCACGTCGACTTGGGCACGTAGTACGTATACCTGGTCACAGCTTACCCAGGAGGGCATTGTTTTGTTTGCAGGAGGTAAGGTGACGCAAAGCTAGAGGGGGACAAAAGCTGACTTGGCAGCGGGAAATGAAGTCACGAACGACCTAACTCGGTGCCGTCGATCCGCCTTGCCTTTCAGACTGGAGTCCACGTGGCTCACCTTGTGCTTGATACATTACGGGACATGACTGGCAGTCGGCACCCGTCTCTGTTGTCCTCTCTTAGTTGGACTGTGTTCAGTGTGTCTAGTGCTGGGTTATCTTCTGGGTACTGACTGATTACGACGCGGGGCATTGAAATTCGCAAAGAAGCTTTCTCGCGGATGCCGCCTTATGTTTGTACAATAGTCAGCTGTTTGTGATGGTATGTTGTTAACAAGGTGTAAGCGCCTTCACCCCGAGTGTTTGTGTAATACTATAAGGTTTTGCCGTAGGCCCCCTTTTTCCCTCTTATTGTCCTTTCATTCCTTAATAATGTGTCAGCTGTACGTCTTAACTGCGTTTCGCTGCCGTGCGACCACCACCAGTCATACGCGGGCTGAATATACCGCTAGGACGCCCACCCCTACGCGGTGGTTATACGGCAGCGATGCATCAGCTCAAGTGGCTGATCTGCTTCCGTTGATGCAAAGCGCATGTCAAATAATAGGACCACTTAAGAGACGTTATTCTGGGTTACCTAATCGCCCCAACATCGCTAACAAACAAAGTTACTATCCTCTACATAGTCAAGATCAAGTAGTTTTCAACCAGGTTTCACCTCGACCTTGCATTTGGTGATTTTACAAGCAAGCATTTAATGATGGAGTCCACGATGAAGTTTAACAAAAACGATAAATTATACAAAACTAAATGATGCTACTTGTAGCCAGGAACGTATTTGACAAGTCGTAGACCCTGACTCATGGGTGATAGTCGCACGCCCGTCGCAGCTAATGCAGTTGCCAATGTAGATGAATTGGTCGTCATTTCAGTGTTGCCCACTGATAGACATTGCATAGCGAAAGCCAAGTTGCAGAACTACTTCATACCTCAATGTTATCTGAACCGTGTTACCCAACAAGCTGCGGCCAAACATGGAACTGCACAACCTAAACCCTTGGCGGTCTAATCTGTTGGGTTCATCGCTTAACGGACGCAAAATAGCAGATCGGTGCCAACTGTGCCTTTTAGGCACAGGCCTTCCCATAGGAAACCACCGCAGTTCAGAGCACAGTTACAACGAGCACCCACAACTATTCGTGCTTTCAAAGTTAAGGTCCTATCACCTAGCTTAGGGCTTGTTAAGCTGAAACGATATACTTGCGCATTCCTATCACCTGCATCTCTGACGACATCTAAACTAATAACTGCAAAATGCTGTTGACTTGGTGGTAAAAGTGTCTTTCGTGGCATCAAGTTTTCGGTCTGTGGGATATAAACTGCAGTAACAAATATACAGTGCTACTCCCTGCGTCAATTCGGTTGGGGTACCTAAGCGGACCACATATTAGTGGCTAATCACTGGAGTCCAATCAACTAGTGATGATTCAGCTCTTGTTCTGCGAGCGATGAGTACTTCAACTTCACCTGCTAGTCTCAAATCTGCATCTCTGAATTGCTATAACCGGTAACGAGAGCACATGCCGGATGCAGTTGCTACAACAGCCGCCTGAAAGTCCTTGCTTCTAGCCTGCAGTTGGTCGGTAGATGAATTGTCTACCGCCGGTCACCACTTGAATCCTACGTAGGTGTGCATAACCTCCGTGGCTTTAGCACGCGCGCAACTCATTGTAGTTGTGTGGTAGCTCACCGCTAGCACGATTCCATTTGCGTATGGCACACTGATAGCTCATCAAATTGGTTGCTTCTTCAGCTAACTAGACCAGTGACTGCTAATTTACAAAAGACAAGATTTGGGTTGTGTGTTCCTTATTGCTTGATTCCAACACTGTGCTCCACGACGGATTTCATTGTTTGCTAAACTTATAAACTTATGAATGATCTCGAAGTCCATGTTACGGTTGTTTGTGGTAATCAATCAAGATAGGTACTCCGACGCCCATTTGTCAATCAGATTTTGTGATTAGGCTTTTGGTAATTGCCAACACTTCTTGAATGGATATAAGCTTTTTTGTTGCTGTATTAAGTGTGCTACACCCGATTGTGGTAAAGTTTCAGGGAATTTGTTGCAATTTTCTATGTTGCTTTATTTTTTCTAACAGGTGAATTTCACTGTGGACCAGCTTCGGCAGTTGATGGACTTGAAACAGAATATTCGCAACATGTCTGTCATTGCACATGTTGATCACGGTAAATCTACGTTGACGGACTCTTTGGTTTGCAAAGCTGGTATCATTGCTGATTCGCGCGCTGGTGACGCTCGTTTCACTGACACTAGGAAAGACGAGCAGGATCGTTGTATCACTATCAAGTCAACAGCCATAAGCCTATACAATAAAATGCCAAAGGAGGATCTTGAGCTGGTGAAGTCTGTTCAACCTGTTGCTATCGGACCTGATGGGACCGAGGAGAGACGCTTTCTAATCAATCTCATTGATTCACCTGGTCATGTGGATTTTTCCTCTGAGGTGACGGCTGCACTAAGAGTTACTGACGGTGCACTAGTGGTTGTTGACTGTGTTTCTGGTGAGTCTAAATCTTATTTTCCAATGGTTTCTAGGTGTATGTGTACAAACGGAAACTGTTCTGCGCCAAGCGATCGCTGAACGCATTAAGCCCGTTCTCTTTATGAACAAGATGGATATGGCCGTAACAACCTTGAATTGTGAAATGGAGGAGTTGTACTTAAAATTCCAGCGTGTTATTGAAAGCGTCAATGTTATTATTGCTCAGTTCAGTGAAGCGGACTCGCCTATGGGAAATATTTCAGTCTCTGCTACACGTGGAACCGTCGGCTTTGGATCTGGTTTACAAAGCTGGGCCTTCACACTAAGAGACTTCGCAAAGCTCTATGCTTCAAAGTTCAATTTAGAACTTCCTAAACTTATGAACCGATTATGGGGTGAAAACTTCTATAACATTAAGACCAAAAAGTGGACCAAGGTTAGGCAGTCCGAGGATGACATTCGTGGCTTCAACCAGTTTGTCCTGACCCCAATTTACACAGTCTTTGATACTGTAATGAAGAAATCTCGTGAAGAGCAAACCACCTTACTCACAAAAATGGGTATCAAACTAGATGAATCAGAATATGCACTACCGGACAAACAGCGCCTAAAGTGCATCATGCATAAGTGGTTGCCTGCTGGGGATTCGTTGTTAGAGATGATATGCGTGCACCTTCCTAGTCCTGTTGCTTCACAGTCTTACCGCATGGAAATGCTTTATGAGGGTCCACATGATGACGAAGCGGCAATTGCGGTAAAAAACTGTGATCCCAATGGTCCCCTTATGATGTATATAAGTAAAATGGTCCCTACATCAGACAAGGGTCGTTTCTTCGCCTTTGGTCGCGTGTTCTCTGGATGTGTTTCCACCGGACAGAAAGTGCGTATCATGGGTCCGAATTACGTTCCTGGGAAAAAGGATGATTTATACGAAAAGAGCGTGCAGAGAACCGTCCTCATGATGGGTCGTTATACTGAAGCTGTGGAAAACGTGCCCTGTGGCAACATTTGCGGGCTGGTTGGGGTCGATCAGTTTATTGTGAAGACTGGAACTATTACGACTTTCGCTGGTGCTCACAACATGCGGCAAATGAAGTTCAGCGTCAGCCCGGTTGTTCGAGTTGCCGTTGAATGCCAAAATCCAGCTGATCTCCCCAAGCTCGTTGAAGGTCTTAAGCGCCTAGCCAAGAGCGACCCGATGGTTCAGGTATTGTCGTTTCTATCTTATCCATCCATCTTATCCCTCTTTTAGATCACTACGGAAGAGTCGGGAGAACATATTATTGCTGGTGCTGGCGAATTACACCTAGAAATTTGCTTGAAGGACCTTGAAGAAGATCATGCCTGTATTCCTCTAAAAAAATCCGACCCTGTCGTCTCGTATCGCGAAACTGTATTGGACACTTCTAGCATGTCTTGTTTGTCTAAGTCGCCTAACAAACATAATCGTCTAACCATGAGGGCCTCGCCATTATCCGAGGATTTATCGGTGGATATTGACAACGGCAAGATTACTAGTAAACAGGATATTAAGGACCGGGCCCGTCATCTTGTCGACAATTATGGTTGGGATGTCCAAGAAGCTAGACGTATATGGTGTTTTGGTCCAGAGGGCACTGGTCCTAATGTTGTGGTCGACGTCACAAAGGGGGTGCAGTATCTAAACGAAATCAAAGATAGCGTTTCAATCGCATTTCAGTGGGCTACAAAAGAAGGTGTGTTATGCTCTGAAAACATGCGCGGTGTCCGTGTCAACTTAGAAGATGCCGTCCTGCATGCTGATGCTATCCATCGTGGGGGTGGACAAATCATCAACACCGCTCGACGATGTTTCTATGCAACCGTTCTTACGGCAACACCGGGCATACTTGAACCAGTGTACCTAGTCGAAATTCAAGCACCTGATACAGCTCTTGGGGGCATTTACAGCACGCTTAACAGAAAACGAGGGGTGATGCAAAGTGAGGAGCGGACGGCGGGTACCATGATGTGCGTGGTTAAAGCTTTCTTGCCAGTCAACGAATCCTTCGGTACGTCATACGTTTTCTAATTACTCAATCACAGGTTTTGCCACGGATTTGCGTGCAAACACTGGCGGGCAAGCATTCCCTCAATGCGTCTTTGATCATTGGCAAGTGTATCCCGGAAACCCACTCGACCCTGCTTCCAAGCCTGGCCAAGTGGCTCTTGCCATTCGAAAAAAGAAGGGTCTGAAGAGTTCTATACCGACCGTAGACGAGTTCCACGACAAATTGTAATCTATCTTTTCTTTTGGCGCATGTGCGATCAATGAAATAAACAGATTGCTCCATCGGATTTCTGCCTCTTTCATGCTCGTCCGATTCACTTATGGTGTAGAGCCAAAGCATACAGTCATCAGTTTTCATACTTCTGTTATCGGTGCGATCTGGACTCGGCTTACCGCCCATAGATGACATGATGGAGCCTGAAAAAGAAAGACATTCTCACCTTATCTGTTGCCACTGACCTTCGAGACGCTCGCTTCTCATGCTAGATTGTGGTTGTTTTCTGATATATCTACGGGATTGTCTGACAATCGTGATCTACATATTGTTGTCTGAATCTTCAGTAGTTTATCCAAAGTACTGAAAACAGCACTAGTTTTTCAAGCAACGTATTGCATTATTTTATTGACTGTCTTCCGGGATATTAGTTAATAATAATTATTGCTGCCAACGTCTGTCATTGCTTGCCACTTCGTTTTCTGTTGCTATACACATTTCCATTGCTAACCTACTCCAGAGAAATCAATTATATCAGTAGAGCATCGGCATCGTAACGATTGTTTCGGATTCGACTCCTCATCATCACGACTAGATTGGACCTTAACGTGGTGTGATGCTTTGCCTACCTCTGATCCATTGAGCTTTACTGGGTTGTGCCCCCGGGCTCCTTGTGAGCAGCCAATCCTACCAGGTTGGTCGATGGCTAGAGGTCAGACAAACTCAATCTCCTGGCACTCCAGGTTGGGGGTTTGAAATAGGGGGCCTTCTTTTATGTAAAACCGGATCACTGCCACATCCGTTGCCTTGTGGATCGGCTTTTAAGCCAAAGACTTTGTTTTAAGGACCCTAATCGTTTTCTTGTCTAGGTTTGGGCGCCCTGGCAGTATCTCAGCCAACGTACAACCGTGACAATTTCTCCAAACCAACTGCATCCTGCCTCGGCTGTCGCGCAGCTTATCAGGGGTCGCCTTATCTGTTGCACACAGCAAAAACAAGCTACTGCTAGCACCTTTCTTTTCCACCTATTTCTCTTACTCCTCTCCCAAACCCCATTAATAACTTTCCTTCCTAATTCCTAGCTTAATTGACAGCAGCCGTAATGTCACTGGAGTCGAACCAGCTGCAGCTATCTTCCCGCACCACCCATTGGACGCATATCGGGAATAGTCTCGTTTCCCTGGCGGCGTTCAACATTCGCTTTCTAAGACAAATAGGTCAGCAGGCTGCATTCGCGCGCACGTTGAACACATTAGGTATTTACGTGTGTTGCGTATCCGAAACTAGGATCAATAACTCGCGAGGTTGTTGAATCGACTACTTCCAGCTAGTCCATTTGCTATTGGTTGCACACATCCGAAAACGCTGAGGTGGCAATCACTGTTCAAGCTGGGATAGGTATCGTTCTCAGCTCCAAAACTGAGTCATTATTGGTAAATTGGATTCCTCTGTGCGACACGTTTGACGACATCGACTAAAATTGATTCACGAAGTAATATAAAACGCTGTTTATTTGTGGTTTCCGCTTGTGCGCTCCACCGACTGCAGTTCTGATGCTGCTAAGGATACATTTCACCACTGAATGAACACGTTACTATGCAGTGCTACCAGTTCAGCTGTAGCTGCTGCAGGGGATACGGATTCACAAGTAGGTTACATGTGCTTCCTTCCGACCGGGCGGACAACGGTGAGCGTCTGTTACAACTGTACGCGGAGATTCCACTGTTAGTAGCACCAGTTTTAGACACGGCACTGAAGTGCAATTTAGCATCCAGTAGCTGACCAGGGATGGAGTACTTAAGCCGATACCATTATATATATATATATACATATATATATTGATGAGGTAACCCGTAATGGTGATGTAAACATTCGGTAGATTGCTCAGCAATGTGTCAGCACATGACATTCTGTGCTACGCATATTAAAGGAACGGAAATTCCGAAGATATCGTGCGCTGCAGATTCAAGTTCTGAAGCCATGCATTATGTGAACCGTATGGAATTTCCCCGATGCCATCTGGAAATCATGGACATGCACTCAATCATGTTTACGGATGAGGCACTTTTCCATCGGCATGTCGCCGATAAGCGGCATGTTTGGGTTACCAATTACCCCCGACAATGCATCGCTTCGCGTGTGCAACATGGTGCACAACTCATGGCATGGACTGGGTTGGCAGGACTTGAAATTATCGGACCATTTTTCTTTTCCAAGAATGTGATGGGTAACTTGATTTTTGTAACAGAACCAATGCTTCACATTTCTTAGCATCTTGGTATAAAGAAATGTTGCAGTACAGGTTTATTCCACAACTGCAGACTGAAGGTTTATTGAGTGGCAGTTGGATGGTGCGCCTGCCCATTCTGCACAAACGGTACGTACTTACCTTAACGAAAGTTTCAGTAATCGCTGGATCGGTCGTGGAGACTATTGCTTGGCCTGCACGGTCTCCTGATTTGAATCCCCTGGATTTTTTTTCTACGGGGCTACTTAAAACGCCGAGTGCATAAAACCAGGTCAACTTGTCTAGAGGAACTGAAACAGCATCCTCAACGGCTCTTGCGGTATATCGGTGGACACTGCAGAACGTACCAGCCAAAAGCATCCGGTGAATATTGCTCTGCAAGCGAAACAACGGTAGTTATTTTGAACGTCTACTTCCTTGACTTTTATGACGGTAAGTTCATTTACTACCAGAACTAACGCTTCACATTTGTTAGCATCCTCCTACAAAGAATTGTTGCTGACCTGTGTCATTCCACAGCTTCATGCCGAAGGAACTGAAACCGAGCAGCTTTAAAGAATGTCCCGGGATGTCGGTGGGCACTTTGCAGAAAGTGCTAGCTAATAGCTTCGGACGAATACTGCCCTGCAAGGGAATTGACTGTGGTGATTTTGAACATCTGCTTCGTTGATTTTTATGCTCTTGAAACATACTTCACTTAAATATATGGATAATGCATAGCGATTGATTTCACTGACACATTGTTGCGATGAGTAATGGTGCGAATACTTCGTCAGGGTTGAATGAACACTACAAGAAAATAGAACAAGATGGGTACGTGAGAAAATCGCGATCGCTCAATTGCCCGACAGGGTGCAGGCGTCGCGGTTGGTGTTTACTATAAAGTTGACTGCGGTGGACGAAATTGTTGAAGTTCAGTAGGCTGCATTCTGCGTTTCTTGCAAGCCAGAGTCACGTACTTCCGTCGCCCATGTGACCTTAACCTCGTGTTTGCCAAGTTACTCACTTGTGAGACAGACTGTATTTAAGAGCAAGTCGAAAGGTTTCTGTACAACTCTATCGCATTATGAAATCTCAAAAGCATTTGATTGCGAATCGTCAGCGGTAGTTATCAGTTAATCGTTTATTCCAGTTCGGTTAGTAATTCGTATTGATGTCATTATTTCCGGATATAGGATGTGTTTTTTCCATTGCGTGTGCACCGTTTCACAAAAGCACTGGCTTTTAAAACAATTCACAAAATCGGCCTCTATTAGTCCTTCTGGAAGCGTATTCCAAAATTTTACGATCCGACACAAAGCTGATGTGATACTTTGTTCATGCAGGGGACCCTGAGTTTGTAACGCTGTCCTCGTGTGTTACAGGGCTCCCACAGGTGACATATTGGCCACATCATGGGGAAGTGCTTCAAGTGTAGTACTCGAGGGGTCATTATAAAGTCAATTCTTACTCGGCGGTAGGATAGTGTGTAGAGTCCGAGTCTTTCCCATTTTTCATACGGAAACTTCGTCGACTGCGTATCATGCTAGTCGAGATGTGCTGTACTTTCTCCGGCTTTTCAGTTTCCCACTGGGTTATCGGATGGGAAGCTGGGGCGCCGTATTCAAGGATTGATCTAATAGTCGAGGAACGATTACTTCGGACCATGTGGAGAAACTGCGTCGTAATGCTCAGGGCGTGCGAAGTCTTGCACGGTACAATTTCTCCGTATTTTCTAGTGATCTCATATCATGTTGCGAGAGCACTCCTAAGTCTGACTGATGTGTTAGGGTGGAGCAACTGGCCGTCCAAAGTGTATGATCGAGTGGCTGAACGTCTGGCGATGCTGATGAACTCCGACTTGTTTGCCTTAAGTGGGAGTTACATTTCAGAGGACCATGTTGATAGTCGACCTAAGTCATGCTGGAGGCGAGCGCAGTCGTCCTGGTTCTCAATGATCCTCCAGATTTTCAAATCATCTGCAAACAGGGCACATGGTGACTGGAGCTGCTGCGGAAGATCGTTGATATGAATAATAAATAATACTGGCCCAAGTACAGTTCCTTGAGACACGCCAATGGTCAGGTAGTCATTGACCTGTACTCTAAACCTTCGTCCCACAATAAACTCCTGTAACCACTGAAGTAGCGTGCCACCGATTCCGTACGTCAACATCCTTCTGTTTATTGGGAACTCGTACCCACTGGTGGTTTGCGTACATTAAGCTGGAGATGCAGGATCGCCCTTTCATAAAGCCGTGTTGCACTGGCGTCAATACGCCCATCAATTCGAAGAACGACAGCAGGCACTTTTCACAACTTTCTCGAGAACTGTGGATAATATCGAAGTCAAACAGATCGGTCTATAGTTCTCTGTTTTACTCGGACCACCACCCTTGGGAAACGGTCTCACTATGGAGCATTTCCAGTCATTGGGGACAGATCCTTCAGATAGTAATTTATTGAATAGCTTTGTCACGGCTGGTGAGATGACATACAATAGGGACTTGAGTATTAGTGGGTGAAGTCCGTCTGGTCCCAGGGACTTTACACCATCGAGGTTGATGAGTAGCTGAAACACTTCGGCTGCATCACATCGTAGGCTGTTGAGCAAGACTGGCGCAACCTGTACCGGTACTGGAATACCCGCCGGTTTACTGGAAAATACGATGAGGAAGTGCGTAGCCAAGGCGTCCGCGCGCTCCGTGCTTGAATTGAGCGTTTGTCCGTCCAATCTCTCTAAGACCGGTAGGTCGCCCCCACGTTTCAGTTGACGTTTCAAGTAGGCAAATATTCTTTTGGATGCAGTTGTGACCGAGGATGCTAGCTCCTTTTCGAATTGCCGGCGTTGATTTTTGCGGCGTTACATAAGTTACGCTGTTTCCTGTGCACCGTGTAATCTACATCGCAACCCGATCTGATGTATCTATTTCAAAGTTTGCGACGCCGTCGCGCTAACTGTATATGTTCCTTATCAAACCATTGCGGTTTGACTTTTGAATACTTCAGGGGAATGAACCAAGTACACAGCGAGTTAAACTTCCCCTTCATTAATGACCAACAGGTTTCAAGCGACTCATCTTGTGGTAGTGTCCAATCAGTCTGATTTGCGGCTTGGACGAGCCCATTGAAGTCCGTCTTCTAATAGTTGAATGTCGGCTTCCGTTGGTTGTAATACGGTAACGGCAGTTCTGTGCATGTTACAATGGAGCCAGAGGTTCGAGGACTGAACTATTTCAGCTTCTGCTCGCAGCTCATAAACATTAAGTCCAGCCAAGATGCCGAGT